GGGTTGGTTCAGGGCATTCACTTGTGTCCTCATGTGATTTAAGAAAGACAACAGATTAGCAGACGCACCGGGTATGAACACACAACATTCTGTTTGGATAATGGCACAGGTGCCTCCTTGAGAGGCAGTGATCGTTTAAGGCCATTCTAAGTTGGAGGACGGCTTTCCTCATTAGAGACATTTTAGAGTTCAGTAAGGACCATGTTTCTGACTACCATTCAAAGCTTGCTTTATGAATTTAGTGAGGGCTCCGGTGTGGGGTACAACATCCAGAAATTGCAATTTTTACATCCATATTCAACAACTGACTATACAAATGAACTTTTGGTCATTGTCCATGGACCACGTGCACAGCTCTTTGGCAAATGATTGCTGCATCTCAAACATGCCTCCTTTGACCTCGGGGGCTTATTACTCACAGCATCTCTGGAACTTCTCTGGTGGGGTGGTCTTCAGAGTTAAAAGTCACAGCAGAAAACAGGTCTCTAATTTATAGCATCCTCTTGTTTTCAACCATAAGCATACTTTCAAGTCTGATCATTAGCCCTATACACCAGATTGAGACTCTGTCAAAAACAAAATCCGCTCTCAAAAAGTTGAGTTGTGGGGCCAGGCCTCTGGCACACTGTTTAAGTTCGCATGTTCTGCTTCAGCGGCCCGGGGTTCACCGGTTCAGATCCCTGGTGCGGACATACACACCGCTTGTTAAGCCAGGCTGTGGTAGGCGTCCCACATATAAAGCAGAGGAAGATAGGCATGGATGTCAGCTCAGGGCTAATCTTCCTCAAAAAAAAAAAAAAGTTGAGTTGTGATCCCTAAGAATGGTCAGAACTTTTGCCACAGACGTACCATAAGCTTGCTGTGAAAGTCTCCCACACCACTGTAAATGTCTTGCCGGGCACCACACTGCTCTTTACTGCCTGTCCTCTCCTCAGCCACAAGGATGTGGAGACCCGTCAGCACAGATTTTTTGCTGGTCAAGGCTGGGCTCTGGTTGACCTTGAGTAAACAAGGCCCAGGGCTCACGGGGACGCTTCTCCCACTTCAGATACTGCAGGGCCGACTCCACCTATTTGAATCTCGTGACTCTGGGATTTGTACACAAACACCCCTCCCTAGTAGGAATGTGGCAGCTTCAAAACTCTCTCAGTAATCCGCATGAGCACAGTGCCTTCCCCTGACTCCCACTCCTGCCACTCACTTGAATTCCCAACACCTCAGGTGCAGGACTCAGGATTGGCGAGATCCTGGAGTTCTTCTCTAGAGTCATCTCCCCCACAGCCAAGAAGGCAATCTGTATATAACTGTGTGGTTGCATAGGAGGGACTCCACAGGGGCATGGAAAGAAGACTTTTATTCTTTTCTCCTACTGGCCTTTCAAACTGGCTCCGTTAGTGCCTCAAGAGGAAAATCTTGGATGGCTTCTGCCCTTAGCAAGCACCTCTCCAATCACTGTTAGTCAGATTTGTGTAATTAAAACATCCAACCCAATCATCAAACTCTGAATTTCATTGAAGGGTAAAGTGGCTCCTTCCCCTGGCTGGTGCCTGCTTCAGCTGAAGGACCTGCCATGTGGACAGGGCTTCCCAACGGTGCCCTTCTCCTCTTCCGCCTCCAGTCAGGCATCATAGGTCTGACTGTTCATGGGTTGGAGGAGAACAGGAAGAGACACTGAAGACAAGTCAGTGTAATCTGCCCTTGGGGGTTGGAGGCACAGTGAGTGACTCTTTTCCTCATAGGGCACCATTGATGACTCATCATAGAGTGTGCCCTGGAAATGTCTAATTCCAAGTCCAGCTAATGACCACTATGTCCCCTCCAGCAGGTTACTTCCAGCCCAGTTCCCAGCATCTGGGCTCCCAGAGGTCTGGTCCATTCATCACTGATGGGATCCCTGGTGGACTCCAGGGCAAGTTCCCTTCTAGCTGGCTCTGGCTGGCTCCCTTCTGTGTAGCCCACATTTGATTTATGGGAAACACATACTTTTACCCTCAGTCAGAGAAAGTTATGGGTGCTTCCAGTACAGGCTCCTCAATCTTTACCCTGCTCCCTCTGGCACACAGCAACATCCTTTCATATATTTAGAGCCACTAGGCTCCAAAACTAAACTCCAGAGGACAAAGCTCATGTCCTCCCAGGAATCTATTACCATACACCACTCACCTTTTCTGGCACCTTCAGAGTCCAACAGGGCTCCCTACTATGTTTGAGGAGAGAGGGAACCATCATCCCACTGGGTAGGAGATGCAAGGTGGAGTCACTGTGGAGCCTCCCTTATCGTAACACTTTGTTGCATAGAGATCACCTTACTGCTGGGAAGGCTGTTACTCTACAGAGGAACCCTGAGGTCAGTGACCCGAAATCTAAATGTCCTCTTTTACAAAGTCCTTTCCTCTTGACCTCTTCAAATACCTATCGAATTAGTTGAAGACTAAACCTCATATGACTGGTTTCTAGCTCCTTCCTTTGACAAGTCCTCCATAGATTTTCTGGCACACAGCTTTGGAATCTGGCCATATTGGCAAATACTGAGGACTCAGCTGAACTTGAGGGAGATATTTATGTTAATATCTTGCCACATTCACCCCAGGCCTTTCACATCATCTTCAGTCCAAAATTTCAAGTTAATGCAGGACTCTTACGCTGGACCCTCCCTTTGACACTGAAACTCAACTTGTCACAAACCTCACTGAATGCTGTTGCCCCTGAGTCTATGCTTCCCCTGACAATGTTGCCTGCAGCCCCCAACTTTCCTGTTTCTGAAAAGAAGCAAGATCGTCGTTCAATCAGCCACATGCACACATTCTACACTTCCTTCAGAGTAGACTTCAAGCCCTGAATTCTTTCTCATGTCTTCTCCTAGAAATCCTAGTCTAATTCCCCCTTATTGGTCATGGTGATCGCATATTTCAACAACAGTGATAATGCGCACATCAAATGATGGAACTTCCAGAGACCTCAGACCTCAACCAGAACCACTTTTGCAGAAAATTGGGATATAAGGACTGTAAAGATAATTGAGTGGGCAATATTTCATTCGTCAAGCAAAGAGACAATGTTGATATGATTTATTTGATTTACTCATTTCTCCTCTGGGTATGTCTTACCTTCTGAACTAGAATAGAAGATCAGGAGAAAAGACATCAACTCTCTTAAATTGATCTTCAATAGGCCCTAACACAGGCCCAGACAAACACAAGTTGGTTGGATCAATAATGCTTCTGGAGGTCTCTGAGGGAAAATATCTTTTAAATGGTTCTTAAATGAAGAGTGTAAGGACTATGCATGCATACTCTGCTCTCTAGAGATGATTCTGCACTGATGTGTCACTCACCAGAAACGACCTTTAAACAGGAGAATTGCGTTATGGCAAATAGCAGTTGGGTCAGCCGTGTTACTTCACATATATTATGAATATGTTTTCTCACCACAGTTATTTCCTTCCACGTTGTCTTGACTCCATTCACAACATTTGTAATGACCTTAGAATGAGCAGGTATTTGGGACCTTATTTCTCCCGACTTACTCTCTAATCCTTGTCTCCCTAAAATCCACTGATGCAGTAAATAATCTCAGTCATGTTCACAGACCAAATAAAGGACAACTGGAGAAATTCCACCAATTTGAATCTGGCTTATCTGCAATCACTATAAATGACATAAAGTCATCCCTCTAACTTTGCAGTTTCTCAATTATTTTAGCAAGACCGAAGCTTTCATCTGCTCGCGGCCAATGTCACAGTTTGTGAGGATAAACTTGTCTCAGACATTTCAGCTGTCAGGAGAGATTTTTCTGGTGGAAGAAAACACTAGAGAGAATTTTTTAAAAACAAAGATCAGGGGTGGCCTAGTGGTTAAGTTCACGTGCTCCGCTACAGGCAGCCCAGTGTTTCATTGGTTTGAATCCTGGGCGTGGACACGGCACTGCTCATCAAGCCATGCTGAGGTGGCGTCCCACATGCCACAACTAGAAGGACCCACAACAAAGAATATACAACTATGTACTGGGGGGCTTTGGGGAGAAAAAGGAAAAAAATAATAATAAAATCTTTAAAAATAAACAGAGATCAGGGAATGCTCTGGAAGAGAAAAAGAAGTGGGCATCATAAGATTGATCAATCTGGATTCTAGCAGGAGAGATGGCCCGCTCTAATTTGGGACCTGGAGGAATGTCGAGTGAAGGGGCTTCCTACAAGCTGTGGAATGGAGTTTGGAAACAACCAGGGGGAGTGCTGGTGACAGTGAGGAGATCACATCCTCACCCTAAGGGGTGAGTGAAAACTGGAGCCCAGAAGGAGAGCTGGGTGGAGAGGCCACCAGGGCAGGAGCTGTGACTTTGGGCTTCGGGTTGCAGCTAGTCAGTGATGACCCTACAGGGAGAGAGGCAGGAGAACAAACACCCTGACCTTGTTTGTCTGCCCCCAAGAGACCCCCTGCCTGGACTTCCCATTGGCAGAAGCCAAGCAGAAGGCAGAAAGCAAGAGATCCACTGGTGGAGTCCACAGAGATCCCCTCCTAGGGAAAGAGCCAGAGTGAAGAAGGGTGAAAAGTGGGTCTGCAGAGGCAAATGGAAAGTATTTTGCACAGAAGAGAGTTTTAAGTCATAGTCAGGGACAGCTGAAGTTAGGACGGTGCCTGACAAAGAAAAGAGAGAAAAACAATAAGAGGACCTGTCAACCTCCAGAGCCCCAGGAACCACAGGACAATCTTGCCAGAGAAGCCTGATGCTTCACTAACAAAGTATTCACAGACGTGGACTGAAATAACACACATAATCAGTGGTGTTAACACTTAACCTATGCAGGATTTCTTATTTGAATTTTCCTAAATTGAGTCTTTGAACTCTAGTGATGGGTCATTGCCTGATTATGCCAATTTTGTAACTTCTTAAGATTCTTGGCACTGTGAGGGGGGACAGGTGGGATCAGGGAGTGGTAGGTGATGAGCTGTGAAGATGTTTAATTCTGGTTAGCTACTGCTGCATAACAAACCATCCCACAATTTAGTGGTTTAAAACAGCAAGAATCCTTTATTTTTCTCATGAATCTGCAATTTGGGCAGGACTCAGTGTGAGTGGCTCATCTTTGCTCTTTGCATCTTCATCAGAGGTGGCTCAGTTGGCAGCTGGACAGTCCACTTCTGTGTTACCTCACTTGCGAGGCTGGCAGATGAAAGATCATCCAGGGAAGTGGGCCCATGACTTGAAATCCTTGTATGTGGGCCTTCCCATGGGCAACTTGGGCTCCCTCACAACATGGTGGCCAAGTTCCAAAGGCAAGCATGACAAGAGAGCAATGAGTCAATTCCCTCTTGAACCTGAGCAGTCACATGGTGTTGCTTCAACTATCCTCTATTTATCAAAGCAGTCACAAAGTCCATCCAATTTCAGGGTAAGGGGCACAGATCCGTTAACTCAATGAAAGGAGTAACAAGGTCAGATAGCAGAAGAATAAGTAGGATAAGAGACACTGTAGAAACCATCTTTGGAAAACATAATCCACCACATTACAAATCATAGCAGATTAAGAAAAAAATGAAATTTACATTACTTCCAAAACATATGCCATATTTTTGAAAGCATCTTCATAATCCCATTTAAAACATCTTGGAATATATTACTCTCAGCTTCTTGCCTTATATTTTTTATTCGTTCCTCATATTTCTTCTTCAGTGATTTAAGTTTTTCCTCTTTTTCTTGCAGTTTATCAGCAAATTCCTTTTCTACTAGTTCAATTTCATGGTTTAATTCATCAGTGTAGATTTTCTCCAAGATCTCTGCCTGTAGTTTCAGCCTGTGCTCTGTGTCCTTGTATATGGCGTCTGAAAAGTAAGTCCCTCTGTTCTTCTGCACCATGTTCTCTATCAGCTCCACCAGCTCCTGCACTTGAGCTTCCTTCTCGGCTTCGTCTGCTCTGTTGTTGAAGGCACAGAAGCGGTCCCCACACTCCTGGACCACGCTTCTCAGCTTCACATCCGCCTCTGCTATAAAGTCGCTTAGTCTCTGACCCTCCAAATCATCTTTGCCAGTGAACAAGATGATCATGTGCTTCATGGCAGCCTTCCCAAAGAGAGCCTTGATCAATGCGATGGTATTCTGCTCTTCCTGTGTGTAGCGGCCCAGCCTCAGAACCATGACGATGGCGTGAGGCCCAGGGCAGGAGAAGAGGACACACCGGCTGATTTCCCTACAGGTGGTCTCCAGTTTCTCCTTGGTGTCAAAGAGCCCTGGGGTGTCAACAACAAGAAGGTCCCTCCCTTTCCATTTCCGGGATGCTTTTTGACACTTCTTGGTAACAGCGTCAGCAGAAATTTTAGAAGTAAATAGTTGCTTCTTAATGATGGTGTTTGCTGTTGCACTTTTCCCACTTCCAGTTCTCCCTACAAGAACAATCCTCAGAGTGTTGTCCTGAGCAGCAGCCATGTTCAGGGGATCTGGGACTTAGGGACCCACAAGACCTTGAGGTTAGGAAGGCTGAGAAGAAGAGAAATAGGGTTAATTTGGGGAAGTAGGAACCATTTCCAATTCTCTTGTCTTTCTTCTCCTCCCTGAAAATTTGTAATAGTCTATTATCCATATTTATCCCAGTAGAGACAGAAAGATGAAACAGTTCAACTACTATGGAAGACACAATAGAGAAAGGAGTTAAGGAGTTTCCCCACAAAAAAATAACAGGTCCAGATAGATGGCTTCACAGGGGAACTCATTTAAACCTTTAAAGATCTGATCAGCTTGATGCTACATAAACTATTCCTGATCATATAAAAAAGAATGAAAACTTTCAATTCTTTTCATGAAGCAAGGATGATATTGACCCCAAAGGCTAACAAAGATTTCACCAATAAATAAAACTACAGACATGGTTCATTTGTGAATATTGATACAAACATCCTAAATATATTATTGGACACTAAAAGTAATAAATGATTAAGTGTGATTTATTCAGAAATACAAGAGTGGTTCAATATGAGAAAAATTGATTGTTACAACACATCTCATTAACAGATTAAGAAGAAAATTACCTTAATGCAGAAAAGACATTTAACCAAATTCAACACTGATTCATGTTTAAAGCATTTCATTAAATTGGAATTAATAGATATTTTTAATATGATTTTATATAAATATAAATTTTAAAAATTACGCCATTACTTTTTTTCTGCAGCTAAAATAGTTGATTATAAAGTTCAGTTGGATGAAGAATTAACAAAATTAGCTGGGCAACCAAGAAAAAGATGAACCATGAAGGAAGAAGAGCTCTACCAGAGAGTAAAACATTCTGGTTTGTATAATTAAAGCAGTATGATGTCAGTGCATGCGAAGAGAGACAGAACAGGGAAACAAAATCAGAAAATTCACAAATAGACCAAATTGATCATACTATATTCACTTATATTCAATTTGATTATATTATGCTACATTTATATTCAATAAGGCAACATCTCACACCAATGGGAAAAAAGATGGACTAATAAGCAACACCGGGATAACTACATAACCAGACAGAAAAAATGAAACTGCATCCATTTCCTCATGCCATTCAAATTCCAAGTAGATCAGAATTGAAATGTAAGACACAAATCCCTATAAATAATAGAAGAAACACGGATGAATTCTTTGTAACCTGAGGGCAGGGGAAATATTGCTAGAATTTGAAACAGAGGAAGGAAAAAGACTCATAAATTTGATTACATTAAAATCTAAAAGACAATGTGAGGCAAAAATCACCACAGACAAATTAAAACACAAATGTCAAACTAGGGGGAAAAAATTCCAACTTAAATCCAAGAGGGTTAATTCCCCTATTAGACAAAGAAAATCGAAAAGGAGAGAAACAAAAGACCAACAGCTTCATAGAAAATGGAGCAAGAGACATGAATAAATAGTTCAAAGAAGAAAAGAAACGTAAATGTCCCTTGAATATATGAAAAGATATTCACATTCCTTCAAAATAGAGAAAAATAAGTCAAAATGTAGAAAAAACAAAATAAATAAATTAGAATTACCCTGAGACGCTAATTCTCACCTACAGCTTTGTCAGAAATCCAGAAGTCGGCTGGCACAATCTGTTGGTAAAGGTACAGGGGAAGCGGGTGCTCTCCCACACGGCCAGAGGGAGTGGAAAGGCAGCCCCGACTACAGAGGAGAAGTTAGCAGCATCTTGCAAAAGTCCATCTGCATTTACCGTTTGACTAGAAATCCCAATTTTAGGATTTATTCCAAAGCTACACTGACAAAAATACAGACAAATATTATGCACAAGGCTATTCACTGCACCACTATTTGTAATAGCAAAAGACCAAAACCCTATCAAAGGCCCATCATTAGGGCACTGGTTGAATAAACCTAGGTATTCACACAGTGAAGTACTCTGCAGCTGTGAAAAGGAATGAGCACTATCTCTATAAACCAGTATAGAGAGGTCTCCAGGATGTATCATCAAGCAAAAAAAGCAAAGTGAAGAAAGTGATGTACAGTTTACTACCGCTTCTCTAACAGGGAGGAATATGAACTACACATATAAAATATAAGATGTATATTTTCAAATATAGGAGAAAGCAACGCCAGGATAATCTGAAAACTTTGTTGTTAGTGCCATGGAGTCAATTCTGCCTCCTGGTGAACCTGTGGACAGCAGAGCAGAACTCTGCCCGGTCTTTCGGTGCCACCCTCACCTTCCAGCACTACATCAGACAATGCTCCACTGTGATTCCCAGGGTTTTCATGGCTAGTTTTTCAGAATTAGGTGGCCCCGTGCTTCCTCTCAGTCTGTCTTAGTCTGGAAGCTCTGCTGAAACCTGTCCGCCACTCGTGACTCTGCTGCTATTTGACATGCCAGTGGCACAGCTTTTCAGCATCACAGCAACATGCAGCTGCCACAGTATGACACCAACAGACAGTGGTGTGGCTCCCTGACCAAGAAATGAACCCGCCAAATCTTAACCACTAGAGCGCCAGGGCTGGCTAATCTGAAAACTAAAGAAACAAAGCGTTACTTACACGGAGTGGGAGGAACAGGGGGAGGAACCAGGGATAAAAGATGAAAACTAGACTTTTTGGATATATTCAGATTTGCTACATTTGATCTTGAATCCACGTGAATAGTTTACATAATTATACAACAAAAATTACATTTAAAAAATACCAGTAAAAATTAAAAGGAAATGAAACGAATGAACCTAACTGTGTGTGTGTAGTAGATGAGACACAGAAAGAATTGGTCCAAGAGACTTGAAAATGCAGTAATCTCATTGTCCATCCCTAGTGGGAAATACCTTAAGGCCAAAAAAACCCTGCATAAATTGCATAATTTGCAATTTATAATCATTGCCATATATAATAATTTGCAAAAATCATAAATTGTTTTAAGGAATCTGATCCTTAGTTGTCTGTGTGTGTGTGTGTATCTAGTTTTGAAGTCCATTGTAAAGGCATAAAAATAACAATGAGCCCAGTAGCAACAAGTACCCTTAGTGCCCAGATTGTGGTTTTCAAATGCCATTTCCCACCAACAAAAAATTAGGGTTCTGAGAAGGAAGAACTGATTCCGGGTCTGGGCCAGGAAATGTACAAGCTGACCCTAGACCACCTTGTCATACTAGAAAGCCAGGACGCTACCAAAAATTCTGGGATCTTACCAAAGAGACTCAAGAGCCAACTTGAAGAGGCTCCCATTGGACAAAGATGAGACCATTTGAGCGTCAATAAGAATAATAATTCCAATGGATTGAAATATATCAAATGTGTTGAAATCCAGGAGTTCCTAACAGTTCCACCTTCGGAAAAGAAGTCACTTGCTCTCCTTGGAGTCTGCCAGGAGAGCATCTAATCATTCTGAACATTGACAAAAAGGGAAAGAATCAAACATTTCTCTTGTCTTCCTTATAATAACTGTACCTCATGGAAATGAAAGGATTGCCGAGGGGAAGTTTCTTTTTATAGGATTATTCTATCTAATAAATGAAGAAAGAATGATGGAATATCCTAATTTGTGACCCTTAGTGAAACAAATTTACTCCAGGCAGTCATCACTGTCTGCTAACATCACAGAAGGAGAGACAACAGGACATCACGCGTCTTCTGATGGAAGTTCACAGCTGCACCTCTGAAGCGGTCCCACCAAAACACCAGTCAAACCTGAATCTGATTAGGCCTCTCCCTAAACATAAATTCACACAAAATGCTACAACTAGAAGAGCATGGTAAATGACATCTTGAGGATGTAATCGACAAAACGTACACTGTCCAAGTCTGTTAAACAAAAAACTTCCCCTTTCTTAAAAAAAGATATTTTGGAGAAAGAAAAAAGGAAGGTGAAAACCTAATATTAAGCTAAACTTAAGAAATATTGAACAGTTGCAAGTTATGGACCTTATTTAGATCTGACATCAAACAATTTTAAAAATTATGAGACAATCAGAGAAGTCTGAATATACTCAGTAATATTTTTTAAAATTCTAGTTGCTTTCTGATGTCTGATTATGGTAATATTTTTGACACAGCCCTTATCTTTCAGACAGACATATTCAAATATTTACTGATGGAGTGACGTCATGTCAGATATTTACTTGAAAATGATCTGAGGAGGATAGAGAGTGCTGAGTAATAGAGGAAACAAAACTGCTTCAATTGATAACTGATGAATCTGGGTATAGGCACAGGAAAGTTCCTTATATTATTCTCTTTATCTCTGAATAAGTTCAAACTTTTCCATAATAAAGAACCTAACCTGTGTGCAGTATAACTACTCCTGAACATACACTGTATACTAAGCACCATGAAAAATATGTTCCGCACATTATCTCATTTACTCCCAAAAAATGATCTGCAACGAAGCTAATTTTATTATTCTAATTTTTTAAGTGAGGAAGTAGATGTGGCTCAAAAATGCTGGGAAACTTGCCCAAGGTCACGGTGCTAAAGGTTTTGGGCAGAGGGGCATCCAGTTCAAAGTCTGTCCGACCCCACCACGCTCGCTCTTAACCACTGCACACTACGGCCTCTTCTGGGTTCCTCCTCAGGAGCACGGCTCTAAATTTCAGTCTGCATCAGGACAGAGAGAGATCAGGGCAGGGCAGGGAAGACAGTCCACGCTCTTTCCAGAAGCGAGAACTGGCAGCAAGGCTGTAATTAGGCAGGAACGAGGAGGGCGTCACACACGTTGTCTCCTTAGCGTAGCTGACCCTCTCCCCTCCTCACCTCGTCTCTTACACTGCTGGGGACACAGCTTCTCTCTGTTAACTGCTGGAAAGGATTCAGCAAACCGAATTCCAAATTTCCTCTGCCGTTAGTGACCTGTGTAACTCCTGGAGAGTCACCACACTCTGGGATTCTGCTTCTTTTTCAGTAAAAAGAGGGATTTAGACTAGGTGGTCTCTAAATTGCTCTAAGACCTGCCCTGGGGACACTAACTTCCTAGTCAGGGAAGAGGGTGGGTTATCAGGTAGCACTCATGTCCATCACAGGAGCAACTGGATGGAAGGTGCCCTACTCAGCACAAGTTTGTCCCGTTACATAGGAGATGGACAGACGCCGTCTCCTCACTCCCCACGCTACCCTCCACCACCACATCTCTCCCACCACTCTCAGACCAGAATCCACCCCCAGGCAGACTCCCTGGATCCTACTGCCCCTCACAGCTCTATGCTCAGGGGGCCTCTTCTCAGCCAGGCTCACCTTCTTTTGAATGAGTTGAGTTCTCAAGTCCTCTCCAAAGAAGCTCTTTGAAATGGTGCTTTTGCTTTAACTCTGGGGGAAAAGTCTTTGCACCCTCTGAAACCTCTGAGTCAGGAAACTCAGATTGGGTGGAGCCAGTGAAGGAACTCTCTGCCTTTAAAGAGACAGAAACATTGCCTCATGATTTGGTGGGTGCTTCAGTGTTCGCAAGTTGAAAGCTTTTTCTCCACGTGCCTGCTAGTGCACCAGAATTTCCAAAGCTACATTTGCTGTTTTGGGTTATAGTGGTGGAGCCAAAGGGGCCTTATTAAATGACCCACATCTGGCCCAGGAAGCCAGGCACAACGTCTGCTCATCTCCCCTGGGTGGGGTGAGAGACTGCAGGGTGATTCGGGGAAGAAAGAACTCAGATATGTGGCTTGCTGTTTCCAAGTTTAGAGCCTGGGGATGCTTCCCAGTGACCGTATAATGTGGGTTTTTACTACAGTCTTTCAGGAAGGTCTCATGTTACTCATTCAGAAGTTAACAGCACTCAGAAACTAAGCCAAAGGGTCTAAACCTTTGGGAACCAGAGAAAAAGAAGAAGATGAGGCCTGGAAAACATCTTCCAATGACCACACAGCTTCTCTAGTTTTCTTCCAACATTTCTTGCAAGCTTGGAAATATGTATCACCTGACAAGTAAAGATGCACCTGGAGAGCAGACTCTACTTTCCCTCCCAACCTTCCTACTTTCTCCTACCCAAGGCCCAGGCAGAGAGAGATTTTCCTAGGTTTACCCAGTGGATGGTCCCAACCTGCTCTGAGATTAGAGGCAGGTTGTCAAAGCTCTAATGGTTGACCAGCCCTTCCAGTTGTCTATTGCATCTCCATAAAACTATTATGTTTTTGATTATACATTTTGATTCACCACATTGAGAAATTGGATTAGGCAATGTACAAGCTGGAGAGTAGGTACTAAGAGGACCAGAGGTGGCAGAAAGTAGCTCACTAGAGGGTAGCCGCCCAGGGAGGGAAGCGGCTAGATTTGGAAATTATGCTGCTAATGACCATACTGTTGGTCGATATCATTGGGTCAATTATTGATGTTAATGCCTTGGGTCACCTGGAAGAGCCACAGGTAACACTTTTCTGACTTGCAATAAAGACACAGATCAGGACCAGCTATGTAATTCACAAGGTCTGGTGCAAAATGAAAATGCCAGGCCCTTTGTTCAAAAATCATTAAGAATTTTAAGATGACATCCAGAGAACATGAAACCAAGTGAGGGGCCCTTCTAAGCACGGGACCCTGTGCAACTGTTCAGGTCACATTCCCAAGGAGCTAACCTTGATGAAGCTGCGTATGTGTGAGTCTAGAGGAGAGCCAGACACACATCTCCTGCTTGCCTCCCTCTTCTCAAGGCCTGGGTGATTACATCTAGGGCCCACTCAGACAATCCAGGATAATGTCTCCACGTCAAAATCATGAACTCCATCACATCTGCACAGACCCTTTGCAATAAGGTAACTGACATGCACAGGTTCTGGGGATTAGGACATGGCTGTCTTTGGGGGCCAGTATTCAGCTGACCACAATCGGGTAGGTTAACCTCTCTGCAATTCACTTTCCTAATCTTTACAATGGAGTGCCTCCCTCATGGGGTGGTTGTGAAATTAAATAAAGTAGTATATATGAAGTGGTCAGAATGGTAGTCAGATTATAGTAAGTGATCAATAAGTGTTAGCTAGTAGTAGTAAGAGAACTCTTGATACTAGTCTCAGGTCATAGATTACCCTCCCTAAGCTCACCTACTGTGGGATTTCACGTCATAGTTGCCTGTCTTAGTCAGCTCAGATGGCCACAAGAAAATATCATAGACTGGGTGGCTTCAACAACAAGAATTTATTTTGCACAATTCTGGAGGCTGGGAATTCCAAGATCAAGGTGCAGGCCAATTCACTTCCCTGGTGAGGACTCAATTCCTGCCTTGCAGACGGCTGCCTTCTCACTTGTCCACACAGGGTGGAAAGAGAAAGCAAGCTCTCTTGTGTCTCTTCTTGTAAGAGCACTGATCCCATCCTGAGGGCCCCACACCCATGGCCTCATCTAAACTTGCTTGCCTCCACAACACCCCATCTCCAAATACCATCACATTGGAGGTTAGGCTTTCACATATGAATGTGGAGGATGGGGGACGGGGACACAACTCAGTCTACAGCAGTCCCCAAATACGTAAATAGAACTGAAGGCCCTACAGGGAGAGGTGGAAAGCTTGGAAACCTTTACTTTACGTTTTCTATCCACTGCAGAGGGTCGTCCTCCAAGGCCGAGAAGGACCGTACCTAATTAGCAGATATGAGAGTTCTAGGAGTCTGTTGATTTCTGGCTCAGTTTCTCATCCTTCGCCTCTGCATCTGAAAACACTTCCCTCTTAAGTCCTTAAAAGAAGAAAAATCACAAACTTCTGCCAGGAAACAGCCCTTCCTTCAGCCAGGGACCAATGCAGGGACGGACACTGGGCCTGACCCAGTTTGTCGTTCAGCAGGAGGGTCAATAGATCATGGGTGACGAAACCAGCAGCCCTCCACCTTGCCACCAAAAAAAATTTTCTTAGTAACTTCCACTTTTTAATGGTCTCCTTCAAGTTAACTCCTGGCTTTGGATGTTGCTCAGGCTTCCCGGGTTTTCTCCACTCGCTCATCCCCGACGTGGTACCCGCATGAAAAGGAAGTTCAGCGCTTTCACACACTGTCTACCAGGGCAGGATCCGGATTATTTATACCCCTGCGCTCAGAAGTCTTGGTTTAAATGGTCTCCTGGCTCCCCAGATGCACAAGAAGAACTGCCTCTTGCAGGCGCAGGGCGGCCTCGGAACAAAAGCGACACAGGTGTTGGGCGTAAAGTGTCCTTGGAGGTGGATCCCTCCAGGGAAACATGGATCTTTCATGGACATATGACAAAAGCTTCATATAAACTTATAGATATGAATATAATTTTCTGTCTGGTCGAATGTATAACCCAAAAGTTACATTTTATGACTGTCTTGGACGCTAACTCTAGATTCTCAAATGCTCTTTGAATCAATGATAATGTCTTACAGGTTCCCTTTAGTCAATGAGTTGAGCAAAATCTTTGATGTGTTTATTTTATATTTGCACAAGAGTCATGAAATTGTTTGTTTGAAAATTTCACTCTCACAGGAAAGAGAGGGAGAAATAGCATGAGCAAAGCCTTGGAGGTGGAGATATGCTGGACACGGGCAGAGATCAGCAAACACTCTGGAGAGAGGGGTCACTACCAGCATTTTAAGGGCCTACTGTGTTCCAGGCACTGGGCTTGATATCATTCTCTCCTTCATTCCTTACAACAGTGTAAAACAGATATTAACAGGAACCAGGACTGGAAATTTAGGTAAGCAGAGCTCCACTGAAACACTGTATTAGGTCCTTCTGAAGGGGAGGAGTGGAGGAAGATTGCCCTTGAAAGAAAAGTTGAGACAGAATGTAAAGACTGTCGAATACCAGGCCAAGGAACGGGGACTCAAAGCCCTGGGCAGTAGAAGTCGGCCAAGCACCAGTGACGAGAGAAAACTATTTACACGGGTTTCACCTACTAACTACAACTAGGCCTGGGAAGACAGAGATCGGGGCATTTCACCCTCCAACTGCATACACTGCTCCTTGACCACCTGTTAGAGGTTGCATTGTGTCCTCCAAAGATGGGGTCAAGTTCTAACCCCTGGTACCTGAGACTGTGACCTAATAGGGTCTTTGCAAGTAATCCATTTAAGATGAGGTCACTAAGGGGGGCCCCAATCCAATGACTGTATCAATATGAAAGGAGGGAAATTTGGACACAGACGCACAGAGGGGAACAACAGGTGACCACAGAGGCAGAGATTGGAGTGACACATCTACAGGCCAAAGAAGGCCCAGGATGGCCAGCAGCCTCCAGAAGCTTGGAGGAGGCAAAGGAGAATCCTCCCAGAGGTGTCAGAGACAGCGCGGCCCCGACAGCAGCTTGGTGTTGGAGTTCTACCTTCCGACTGTGAGACGACCGATCTCTGCTGATGTAAGCCACCCAGTTCGTGCCCATTTGTGACAACAGCCCATGGAAACTATCTTAGGTTTTGGTACAGGAACTGGGGTACTGCTGTAAAAAATACCTAAAATGTGGAAGTGGTTTTGAATTTGGGTAATGGACAGAAACTGGAAGAATTTTGAGGCGCAGGATAGAAAAGTCCTAGATTGCCTTGAAGAAACTATTGGTGGACAAGTGAACATTAAAGGTACTTCTGGTCAGATCTCAGATCCAAGAGGAACACGTTATCAGACACTGGAGGAAAGGTGATACTTGCTATAAAGTGGCCGAGAAGTTGGTTGAATTATGCTCTACCACTGGGTGGAAAGCCTAACCCATAGGCAGGAAACTTTAATATTTAGCTGAGGAGGTGTCCGAGCAAAGTGTGGATGGTGCAGCCTGGGTTCTCTTGGCAGCTAACGGGAAAATGCATGAGGACAGAGAGTGGAGTGACGCACGCACCGACAAGCCGAGGAATGCGAAGAATTGCCAGGAACCACCAGAAGCTGTGAAGATGCAAGGAAGGGTCCTCCCCTGGAGCCTTCAGAGAGAGCAAGGCTCTGTGACACTCTGATTTGGGACTCCCGGAACTAACAGACAACACCTTTCTGCTGTGTTAAGCCACACGGTGTGCAGGGATCTGTCACAGCAGCCCTGAGAATCTAATGCACCACCTTATTCTTCCCACACCTCGTCTCCTGCCTGCGGTTCGTTCCATCCTCTTAACGACTCAAAGATTTCCCCTTCTGCATTGCACGGTCTGAGCGGTGCAACCTTACGAGCACATCTTCTCCCTCAGTCCCACCCACACGGCAGGCCCAGATGACCATGGAATCTCAGGGAGGAGAGACGCTGGCTTCCTCAGAGAATTTAGCTTTAAAATTCTCAGGGGAGTTTAGTTTTTGTCAACAATTTATTCAACACCAAAACCAAAACAAAAAAACGTTTCTTTTAAAGAGGGACAGAGGGACTCAAGTCCTGAGAGTGCAGTTGAGGCCTCCTGACTCATGAGGGGCA